TGTCTTCCAGAAAGAATGAATTTGGCTGCTATATAATCCTGTTTGTGCAACTATCGAATCATGTATCTGGCAAGCACATGGAAGACCATGGGTCACACGCATAGCACATCCACAACGTTCATAGACCTGGTAACTCAAATCCCGCATCCTTTTCGTCTCGTTATGCAGTTCTTTCAAGCAATGTTGAGACACTTTGCCATTTATACGTGACAGTGGAAACTGCCTGTACATCTGATCAATTTTAGACCTTGATGCCTCCAACTCATTACGAATTTGTATGATTCGATTACCGATATGGCATTGGACTCGGGCCCATACGGTATCCAAAGAACCTGCCAATGATTTAAATTAGTAAATACTTTTTAATTTTTTTTATTATAATTACAATTACGTAATAACGACAACAACTAATAAAATAAAACAACTAACCTGTGGATGATTCAAACCAAGTTTTCACTGCTGAATGTTGGCTCTCAACTCTACAGTTGGTGGTGTTACCAAAGTGAAGAACCTGGTTCATCCAATATGTCACAAATTTCTCCTTATGACAAAGCCATGTTCTATCAACATACTGAATCACTGCCGGATATCTTGCCCACCTCACTTGCATGGTAGCTAGAGCATGATCATACTCTGCCTGGGTTGTTGCATTCACGATTTTGAACCATTTGCCATTTTTAAAACTGGCACCAACCTTCTTGTTTCCGAACATCTTCATCACCTTAGCCTCCACATCTCTGTTGATGTGCCATATACAGAGTAAATGTGACGTCCCTGGAAAGACTTCTCTCAAATCCGCACATAGCCTAAGATCACGGTCTGAAATAAATACAGATGACTTTTTATCAAACCCATCAACTCCCTTAATCTCTACAACACCCACCGATAGCTAGTCGTGCACTCGTCACGCATGAAAACATATCCAACTAGAAAATTCTGGTTTGTTGGTGTCACACCTACTACCTCAAAGAAATGCATGTTATATCGATTGATCTTGTAAGTAGAATTCAAACCTATGACATGTGGGTATGTGCGGAGTATGTTGACCATGATCGGGTGCACCATAAATGCATGTTGCAAAACGTTGTGATCATCGTTCATGACCTAGTAAATTTAATTAATCTCTTTCGCCAGATGAAAAAATTGCGAAACAACTCCTCTTCCTTTGGACATCTCCATCCTGAAGTCATTCCGGCAATTGTAAATGTGTCGGATGTTTGGATGATCATCATGAAATTGCTCTGCAATAGTTGACATGATATTACGGGGCGCAACCTTGGACTTTGTCATGTCCCGCACAACCTGTTTTGCACCCGAACTCAATCCGCTCACTTTACGGTGACCCTCTTAATACACAATCATTGGGTGGTTATGTGTCCCGGTGTGATCATTTTTCGCAATGATCTTCCAACTGTCGGTGCTGACTTCATAATATATCTTGATGTAGAATGGACAACCATTAGCTTTGGTTTTTGTGTCCTTCTGTATCGCGTTCTCCAAATCTCTCGGCTTGCTCCTTCGTGACCGATCACATCGCAAATACCGATACGGCCGACCATCTCTAGTTTTGTTATAAGATGATTTCACCAAAATAAATCCTAAATTTATGGAAACACCATCAGCCCATGTAACTGCATCGTCAAATGTTGGAAATAACGTATCCGTGACAAAATTTTCACTATAATTCACACCGTCACCGACTTCTTCAGATTCCATATCCTATACAAATTAAACAAAACATGGTTTATGTCATTATGTAATTTTTTATAATATTAATTATAATATTTATGAAACAATATTACAACTATTAATAATATTAACATTAATAACTAATATTGCTAACAACAATCATAATAGCAACAACAATAATAATAACAAAAATTACAAAACAAATATACTCTAAAAATAATTAAAAATTACTACTACTACTACTAATAATAATAAGAATAATAATAATAATAATAATAATAAGAAGAATAATAACAATAAACAACAACAACAATGATAATAATAATAATAATATTAATAATAAATACAAAACACTAATAATAATAATAATAATAATAATAATAATAATAATAACAACAACAACAACAACAACAACAACAAATACAAAACAATAACAATAATAATAATAATAATAATAATTATAATAATAATAATAATATTAACAATAATAATAATAATAATAATAACAACAACAACAACAACAACAAAAACAAATACAAAACAATAACAATAATAATAATAATAATAATAATAATAATAATAATAATAATATTTATAAAATTATATTTCTATTAATTAATAATAAGAATATCAACAACAACAACAATAATAACAACAACAACAACGATGATAATAATAATAATAATAATAATATTAATACAAAACAATAATAATTACATTAATTATCAAATATTAATCACAACAACAATCACAAGACCACGAAAAAAAAAACTTAATTAACATTAAAAAAAATAACGTAATTAACATTTTTTTTAAAAAAAAAAAAAAATTAAACCTTGAAAGGGACATCTGCCTGAAACTTCCGAATGTCCCTAGGTGGATCCGCCTAAAATTTCCGGATCCACCATGGAACATCCGGAAGTTTCAGGCGGATTCCTCCTTCCGCTTGAAATTTCCAGATGTTCCATGGTAGATCCGGAAATTTTAGGCGGATCTACCATGGGACATCCGGATATTTTAGGCGGATGTCCTATTTCCAGAAAAAAAAAAAAAAAAAAATTACAAAATGTTCCGACGCATTTTCCGGCGTACGAATGTTCCACTCGTCGTTTATGACCCAACACCTGTCGGAAAATTTTATGATTAATTTTTTTTAAAAATATAAGAAATTAAGGTGGTCGTGGGGACCGATTTGGTTTTAAGGTCGTGGGGACCGATTTAGTGGACTCGGGATAGCAACGTCGTAATGTGAGGGGACCGTTTCATATAATGTGTCCAAATGGGGAACAAAGTCCTTTTTATAGCACAAATTGCATAAAGAGCATATTTGTCCATTCAAGTCAAAATGAGAGCGTTAGTATGTAAAAAGGGTGCGATGAATAGCAGTTCAGATTTTTTTTCATCCCACCAAAAATAAACCCAAATTTTCCCTCACCACTCTCTTTTTTACTTTTTACCTTACAAAATAATTAAAAATGCACAAAAACAATTAGAAACCATCACCTTAAGCCCACATGTGTAAGCAAGAAGGAAGTTGAGAAAAAAATTCTACAAAGAGATTTTTTTCACAAAATCTCTAGAATTTTTTTGGGGAATTTCTTTGATGGGGTATTATTTCACCCCAAAAAAAAAATTCTAGAAGAGATTTTCTTCTTTGTTGTAAGTACTCTAAGGTGTGTATTCACTCTATACTAAAGCATTCTCCCCATCATTTGGGGAGAGAAAGAAATCAAGAGAATAACAAAGAAAACTCATTAAAACTCTAAATGTACCTCTCCAAAGAAAACCTCTCATCAATTACTTCCACGAAGAACATCTCAAAACCTAGAAGAAGAACAACAAACATTCGACATGCCGTTGTACTCTAGAATATCACAGCCTGGACGACCTGAACACATACAAAGGAAGAACTTCAAAACATCAAGCGCGTCATCACAAGCACGTGTAGTTCAACCTCTACATCAAATAGTCATTGATCGAGAGATCAAGCCTCGTTAATCAACAATTCAAGTTAAAAGTCTATATCAAATATCTTTGATAGAGATCAAGCTTCGTCGGCCCTCAATCAACCTAAGTCAAAGTTCTGCATCAATTGTCGATCGAGATCAAGCCTCGACAACCCTTGTTCGAGAATCAAGTCAGCCCGTGAAACAAGTCAAATCTAAAGTGGAGATCGAATCAAAGGACAAAATTAGAGATTGTACCCAAAATTCTCAAATTAATAAAATTAACACTTTGTTGCATTTGTTTTGAGTCTATATTTTGCAGATTTAAAAAAATTTGTATTTACACTTATCAAATTAAGGTTAATGAATGGTAGAATTATGTATGAAATATATTAATTCAACTCGTTATCAATTGATCACCAACCTACTTCAATTACACCCAAAATGAAATACGTAGTAGATAAATCCACAATTTTTTTAATGAACAAATTCTGTGATATTCATCTTATAATCTCAACACTAGTTGCTTATTATATTTATTAGCCAAGTGGGTTAATTACAATTTTCTACAAGGTGTATATGGTACCTAATTTTTAACTATAAGAGCATTTATTTTCATTTCAACCCTATACATACTTTCTGTGTTTAATATCAAGAAAGATAGCCGGGATGTTGCAAACTTCCCAGAGAGTGTAGCTATAAGTAGTCAAGCCTATTTATGATTTCCAAGTATGCAAGCTTGGTATAACCAAAGATTTGAAGGAAACATGAGTAGAAGTGGATTTGTCGAATTTTTAGGGGGTTAATTATACTTAAAGGTTAAAGATGCAATTGAGTTCAAATAGGAGCTGGCCACACTGCTAATAAGGAGAAATTACTCCTAAATTTAATATTTGCATCAGTAAAACTTTCTCTTTCTATTTGTCTACTGTCTAACAAGGTTCAAGCAAATAGAGACAGAGAGTTTTCGATTATTGAAATTAATATCAAAAGCAAAGTAAATTTTGGCCAGGTAGTAGATTGAAAATCAACTTTTAGCACATCCATAAGTAACAAATCAAGTAATTTGGGCACTTGCTGCTGCATCACAAGTGAAGAGGTATGCATTCAGTCCGATGAACTCCAAGATACAATTCTCGATCCTGGCATTGTATTTTTTGGTGCACCCGGCCATATATTTTAATTCAGATAAAATATAAGTTGAAATTTTTTTCTGGATCCTTAATAAATCATATATTAAGATACTCAAACAGAGAATACGAAGTAATTAGTTAAGCAGCAACTCATCAAATTATCTTCATTGTGTGTGCTGCAGACAGACTATATATTACAAATGTAGCTTGTTAACTTTGCAGCTCATTGAACTTAGCAGTGCATTGGGGTATTAGGAAACCAATAAACGAACAGCTTAGGAGTAATGGAGTATAGGAATAACCAGAAGGGCTCTTGTAAGGAGTTGTAAGTGAACTTGACACCGGAGTTGCCATCCCAGACGATTACACCGTCCATGAAAACTGCTGATTGATCGTGCTAGGCATCCCATTGTTTGCTTTCAGACATTGTTTCTGCAACTGTATCAATCTGTGAATGCCCGATGTTCACAACCTCCTCAGATTTAGTTATGTTCAGAACAGCTAACTCGGCCCCTGCATGTATAGAGTCATGGAAAAATGAGTTATTTCAATACAATCTACAATCATAGCTAAAGAACTTGTGAGATGTACTTTCATCCGAAACATTGGATTTAGATCAATGCAAAATTACTTATTTATTCAAGCATTGCTAAGCCCATAGAATTTTCAAAAAAAAAATAAAAATAATTACACCCTTATTTACACCTTGATGAATGAGTTGTACTCAGAATAACAAGTGAACGGAGCCTCCTATCACAGCACGCTGCCCACCATTGGTAGACTACCATCAGTTGGATTGGCAGCACCACAGCAGTAAGTGCCGTTCATTATTGTTACCAACTAGTCAACTACCAAATTACTTCTACATATAGTTCTGCCAGTGACGTTCAATTCTATATAGAATAATAATCACTGTTTGGGGGAATTTAACTATTTTAGATTTTTCCTACTAATTCGGCATTTAGGTTCATAAAAGGCAGGATCTACACTCTCCGATAAGAAAATTAGAACATCCATGAAAGCCCCAACGTGTTAGAATTCAACCTTTGAGCACTCATACTGTGACACTAAGATTTGGCCACTACATACTCAGCTAGGATACAGCTGCAATCGGCAGAACTGCTACTCGTCTAACCACATTCCACAAAGGCTCTTTTCTAGAGGTTGAGGTTTTTGACTAAGTAAACAATTCCAAAAAAAGGAGCCATCTATCATATTAAGCGTCCAAAATCACACTACAGAGCATTTTCTTATGTTGACACTTGATTCTAATCAGAAATAAAATTGATCTTATAATCAACTTCTCAAAATTCAGCTTCAACCACAAGATGAAGGCTTTACATATTGATCTCAAGTCAAATGATAATCGGAGAGAAAAAGACAATGGTCTTTTGGTAAAAGTGTACAGATAAGGTTGAATGCCCTAGAGGCTACAGCAACTAGGTAGCCCAACAACACCAAGAACAATAATCAGTATGGATTTCGTCAAATTCAGATGCATGCAACCTTACCCTAAAGGCTAGACAATAATAAGAAAGTCCCACAGATACAACATTATGAACAAAAAAATTGAAGTGGTCCAAATTAGCATGAAATGGAGTAAATTTAGAATCCCTACACACTAAGTATTTCAAGTACACAAGTCCGCAAAGCTGGAAGGGATTCATGAAATTCATCTCACACATCAGTATCCTATTAATTGATCACTTTCCCACATCAAAAACATCTTCAATTAAATCTAATCATCAAATTTCCAAGAGTATTGTAATAAGCAAGCCCAAATAATTTGACCAAGAAATCTATGAATAGCACTTAATTACCAACTAGTAGTTAACAATCCCATCAGAAAAAACCTCATTTTCATACTGTCAGTGTCAGCAGTGCATAAATCAGAACAATCAATGAATCAGCAATAACAGTATTCCACCAAAAACCAGTACAAACTTCTGCTAATCCAAAAACCCATATCATATAATCCATAAAACTCATCATACATACCCATCAAAACACCCCAAAAATTGAAACTTCACCCCCAGAAATTAAAACATTACCGTAAATATGCAGGAAAAACATTGTTTTATATAATCAGAAATTATAAAATAAACCATAACACAAGATAATTGAAAAAGGGCATTACCTTGAAGAACATGATCTCCAGGGCCAATAGAAGAATCTCCACAAACATCACATACAACTCTGCCTTGAATTTACCAGTCCAAGCAATGGCGCTGCGAGCCAATACCAGTAGCAATAAAAAGAGTGTAAAAGTAGTAGCAGAAAGTTTGAGCTTATCACCAAAGATGGATTCTTTCTCCATTTTCATCCGTGTTGATTTTTTATTTTTTTTTTAATTATTATTTTTTTAAATGGAGTTCAACCACTTTTTAAAAGAGGTTTCTTGTTTCAATTTGTTGTGCACTTTTCTTTTGTTGACCTCTTCTCAAGATTACCAGTAAGTTTGGGTAGGTGGGAAAATTTGGACTCTCTATTGAGGTCATGTTAGCTCATATTGAAGAGAACAACTTCTTTATCATAACATTTATAAGGGTACCATAGAGAACAGTCTCTTATAGTCAATCTTATAGGCTATAGCAAATTAAATTTCCATATGCTTTGTAACAATTCTAGCTCATAATAAGAAATGAGACAATCAAACAACTGCACATTTCCACTCCATATCTATGACAAGCATCAAGGCTATTAAAACTTTAAAAGAGTGACGCGTCAAGGACAGGAGGTACAGGAGCAACAAATGCATTACGTAAATCACTGACCTCTGGAAACATCTTACTGGATGAGTACATTCCCTGGACAGCACAGGCAACGCTCATAAGATTATCAGCAAAAAAATGTCAGAGAAAACATGGCAGTAATTTGCCTTTAATCGTTTGCTATGAACAAACAACTCACTACTGACACATACTAGATCAACAGCACTCTCATCTCTATTATTGACTACTATTTGCAACAAACTGATCTCTACTTTCAACCCCGAAAACCCCTTCCCTTCGGATTGTGAATTCACACGAAGACGGTGGTAAATGAGGCGCGAAAACAACATGGATGTGTCTTCTATTACGCATATTAACAGAATACTTCCCATCTTCCTCAACAAATCCACTCCCCTCACCTACAACCTCCTCACTTCTCGATATAAACAACCTTGTATTAACACAATTAGCCCAAGATAAACCTAAAGCGGCACAAACCCGTCTCCCAGAAGTATACAAACACGCCAAATTCCCTATCCTCAACCCATTAATCCCCTCATTATTCCCCACAAAATCAACCACTTGATTGGTTATTACCACAGCCAATCCAAACTTTTCAGCTAGTGCTCTCAATTTCCCAGCAATCTTAAAAAAGAAAGACAACCTCCGCTTAAGATCAGCAGGGGTGTTATCAAAATCAGACCTGAAAACGGCAGCAATCGAATCAATGACAATCAGCTTAATCGGCCATTGGGTCTTATTCTTTTGAACAAGAAAAGAATCTAACTTGAGCAAAACGTCGAACAGGTGGTGTGCATCATCAACAGCCTGAACTAAAACCTTATCCAAAGGATCATATGATGTAGAACCCAAATGGGTATTGTAAGAATCGACGAAAGAGAGAGAAAGCTGCCGGAGCCGGCGATCGGGAAAGGGATATTCGGTGTATAAGTAGAGAGATGAAGCAGAGAAGCCGCCAAGCGAGACGGGGAGTTGGGCAGAGAGTAGGAGCTGAAGGCAGAGTTGGGTTTTGCCGGAACCGCTTTCCGCAACGATTTCAGTGATGGATTTGCAAGGAATGCCGCCGGCAAGAAAGCGGTCGAGGATCGGACAAGAGAGAGTTAGCTTTGGGGTGGTGATTGGCTGACTGTTGGGGTCAAGGAGGATGGAGGGTTTCATTGGAAATGAGAGAATGAGAAGAATAACGGTTGATTTAATATGCAGAAATTGAAGAATTTGGTCAAGTTTCTATGTGTGATGTTTTCATGGAGATAAAAGAGGATGGCGGGAATTATATGAGAGAGATTCAAATTCAACAAATGAGGTTTTCTTTATAACTGTACCTCGGAAAAAAAAAAAAAAAAAATCTCCATCCTCTTTTCCAGTAAAAATCTAAATCGAATAATTTTCAAGTTGATTTTGAATCAAATCGGTTGGATTAGGTTTTGACATCTCTAGGTATTATTTGTTTTATTTATTTCTTTATTTTTTTTTCTCTCAGGACTTCAAGGTGTAATATTCATTTTGTCTTTAAATTCATAAACTTTCATTAGTGATAATTTGGTTAACCATCCTACATTCTTACTGTCCTAGAAGGGTGATACACATACATTCAATGTATGTAGAGCCCACATACATTCCCAATTAGGTGATGCCACATAAGCTTGAGCCAAAAAAAATAAGAGGGATTATTAGGGGGAAAAATTTCACCCTCGATGACGCTAAGTAGTAACTTAAGCGGGAAAAATGGGTGGCGAAAATTCTTGGCGCCTAACCTCATTTAATGCACAATGAATCTTTGTTTTGTTTTTAATTTTTTTTATTAAATTTCTATTACTTTATAATTGATGGTATCACAACCATATTACAGGTTAATATGAAAAGGACGCCGACGAAGATGAGCAGGACGCCGGAGAAGATGAACAGAGTGGGTGAAGATTACGGAATCCAACACCGACAATAATTTCTCAAATGAAGTTATCCGAATTTTCTATTCGCGAGCATGTTTACTGGAAAAAAAATTCGATTTTGGACAATCAAAAATCCACCATGATCGATTTATTTCAAACATTTCTTTAATTTAATTAAAAAAAATTCACTGCACTTATCTATCACGCTTTTCCAATTAAACAATTGATGGTGAACGACTAATTAAATTCCAGTATATGATATCTATTTAGATAAAATATACATAATATTGAAATAATGTCATTCATTTCTCGTATTAAGATTTCTACTAATTTCCAAACTAGATTCTGAACTGGAACGGGTAATTAATTTTCAGTCACTGCAACTTTCATGGCTGAAACATAGATACATATATATTTAGTAACAAGAACAAATGTTTAAGTAAAATCCTATTTTTCCACTAATCATGTACAAATTCAAATGTGTTAAATTGTTTAATCAATTACTAATTAAATCAGTAACAAATCCTATACCGACCTTTATTAAGAAAAAGTAACTATTTTTATTAGCGTATACTAAGTATACTTAAAATAATTAACTATTTATATTAACAATTTGCACAGTACACCCTGAAACCCCGAATACAAATGGCTTGCTAGATAATTTTATAATTAAAAATAAATAAAACTAATCAAACAGTTGTTGTTACTATATAATAAAATAATAATAATAATAATAATAATAATAATAATAATAATAATAATAATAATAATAATATTAGTGAGCTATTGTTACTTAGGGCTTGTACCGGAGTTTATAAACTCTACTTTGCCTTTCGTACTTGTCCCCCTAGTACTTTGGAGGCGGCTCATCAGCACACTTTTGACGAGACTCTTCGATCTTCTTTGGAGTGTATTGTTACTGCTTCAGGACCTGGGTTTGGCGATTGACTGTGGCGGCTTGCCAATCGACCATTTGCGTTTGGAGGCCTTGGTGTTTATTCTGCAGGTGATGTTCGGCATTATGAGGTCGATGCCCCGAAACTCATGAAGAAATTGGCAAATATATATTTCACGAAGGTGACCGATTCTTCATTATCCACCTTTTCATTATCCCTCGTCTATCAGCATTTTGGAAATCTCGGCAGGGAGATCACACGTCTGCTTGGCTTCAGGCCGTTCTTATTTCAAGATTGGGTCAGACTATGAACGCAAAGACTTATAGATATCAAGTTAGATAAAATATACATTATATTGAAATAATGTCATTCATTTCTCGTATTAAGATTTCTACTAATTTCCAAACTGGATTCTGAACTGGAACGGGTAATTAATTTTTAGTCGCTGCAACTTTCATGGCTGAAATATAAATACATATATATTTAGTAACAAGAACAATTGTTTAAGTAAAATCCTATTTTTCCACTGATCATGTACAAATTCAAATGTGTTAAATTGTCTAATCAATTACTAATTAAATCAGTGACAAATCCTATACCGACCTTTATTAAGAAAAAGTAACATTTTTTTGTTAACTTCATTATTTTTGCCCAAGTATGACACTATGAAATCTTACATTAAATGATATTTTCAATAGCCAAAGACTTATCATTGCTAAATTATCCATTGTGTGTATAACTTATTTCATGAATAGGATCTTCTGTTACTAATAAAGAAAGTTATATATTCAAAAAAAAATTCAGACAAATGTATAAGGTTACTAATTAATTTACTAAAAAATTAACAAACATAGGTTTGTGGGGGGGGGGGGGAGGGTTGTAATAATAATAATATTAACAATACTACTACTACTACTACTACTACTACTACTACTACTAATAATAATAATAATAATAATAATAATAATAATAATAATAATAATAATAATAATAATAATAATAATAATAATAATAATAATAATAATAATAATAATAATAATAGATGAAGAAGATGAAAAAGAAAAATCATCACAATAACAAGTATTTTTCGGAAAACAATAGTAAAAATGACTTGACTTTGCTTTATGAGCTCATGATAAATGAAGACTTTAATTTTGAATTTAATTTTTTCCGTAGATGAAATTCAATAGGTCAATATAGGATACTAGTCTATTAAAGATTTGTGAAGAAATAATACACTTTTTATAATTTAATACTCCGTGAAATAGAAATTTGCTTTGACAAGTAAACTGACTCTCTTTACTGTTGGAAGGTGATCCGTCAAAATACATTTTACTGTTAACTTCATTATTTTTGCCCAAGTATGACACTATGAAATCTTACACTAAATGATATTTTCAATAGCCAAAGACTTATCATTGCTAAATTATCCATTGTGTTTATAAATTATTTTATGAATAAGATCTTCTGTTACTAATAAAGAGAGTTATATATTCAATAATTTTTCAGTCACATGTATAACGTTACTAATTAACTTATAAACAAAATTAACAAACATAGGTTTGTGGGTGGGGGGGGGGGTTGTAATCATAATAATAATAATATTAACAATAATAATATTAACAACAACAACAATAATAATAATAATAATAATAATAATAATAGAAATAATAATAGAAATAATAATAATAATAATAATAATAGAAATAATAATAATAATAATAATAATAATAATAATAATAATAATAATAATAGATGAAGAAGATGAAAAAGAAAAATCATCACACTAACAAGTATTGTTTGGAAAACAATAGAAAAATGACTTGACTTTGCTTTATGAGCTCATGACATGCTTATAATATCTTTCATCTAATTTTTTTAATAGGGGCTTATGTTAAACACTATTTTCAAGAGATAGAGATTTATGCCGTCTTTAATTAGTATATATATATATGAGATATGTCGCATATCAATACGGACTATATACAAATGAAGACTTTTCAATTTAATTTTTTTCGTAGAATGAAATTCAATAAGTCAATATGGGATACTAGTCTATTAAGGTTTTGTGAAGAAATAATACACTTATTATAATTTAATACTGCGTGAAATAGAAAGTTGCTTTCACAAGTAAACTAACTCTCTTAAATGTTTGAAGGTGATCTGTCAAAAAACATTTTACTGTTAACATCATTATTGTTGCCCAAGTATGACACTATGAAATCTTTCACTAAATGATATTTTCAATAGCTAAAGACTTATCATTGCTAAATTATCCATTGTGTTTATAACTAATTTCATGAATAAGATCTTCTGTTACTAATAAAAAAGGTTATATATTCAATAGTATTTCAGTCACATATATAACGTTACTAATTAATTTACTAACAAAATGAACAAACATAGGTTTGTGGGGGGGGGGGGGTTGTAATAATAATAATAATAATATTAACAATTATACTAATACTAATAATAATAATAATAATAATAATAATAATAATAGATGAAGAAGATGAAAAAGAAAAATCATCACACTAACAAGTATTGTTCGGAAAACAATAGAAAAATGACTTGACTTTGCTTTATGAGCTCATGATATGCTTATAATGTCTTTCATCTAAGTTTTTTAATAGGGGCTTATGTTAAACACTATTTTCAAGAGAAAGAGATTTATGTCGTCTTTAATAAGTGTAAATATATAAGATAAGTCGCATATCAATACGGACTATATACAAATGAAGACTTTTCAATTTAATTTTTTTCGTAGAATTAAATTCAATAGGTCAATACAGGATACTAGTCTATTAAGGATTTGTGAAAAAATAATACACTTTTTATAATTTAATACTCCGTGAAATAGAAAATTGCTTTGACAAGTAAATTGACTCTCTTTACTGTTGGAAGGTGATCCGTCAAAATACATTTTACTGTTAACTTCATTATTTTTGCCCAAGTATGACACTATGAAATATTAAACTAAATGATCTTTTCAATAGTTAAAGACTTATCATTGCTAAATTATCCATTGTGTTTATAACTTATTTCATGAATAGGATCTTCTGTTACTAATAAAGAAAGATATATATATTCAATAATTTTTCAGTCACATGTAAAACATTACTAATTAATTTACTAACAAAATAAACAAACATAGGTTTGTGGGGGGGGGGGGTTGTAATAATAATAATGATAATATTAACAATAATACTATTAATAAAAATAGTAATAATAAAAAAAATAAAAATAAAATAATAATAATAATAGAAATAATAATAATAATAATAATAATAATAATAATAATAATAATAATAATAATAATAATAATAATAATAATAGAAAAATCATCACACTAACAAGTATTGTTCGGAAAACAATAGAAAAATGACTTGACTTTGCTTTATGAGATCATGATATGCTTATAATATATTTCATCTATGTTTTAATTAGTGTAAATATATAAGATAAGTCGCATAGCAATACAGACTATATACAAATGAAGACTTTTCAATTTAATTTTTTTCGTAGAATGAAATTCAATATGTCAATATAGGATACTAGTCTATTAAGGATCTGTGAAGAAATAATACACTTTTTACAAATTAATACTCCGTGAAATAGAAAGTTGCTTTGACAAGTAAACTGACTCTCTTAACTGTTTGAAGGTGATCTGTCAAAAAATATTTTTCTGTTACCTTCATTATTTTTGCCCAAGTATGACACTATGAAATCTTACACTAAATGATCTTTTCAATAGCCAAAGACTTATCATTGCTAAATTATCCATTGTGTTTATAACTTATTTCATGAATAGGATCTTCTGTTACTAATAAAGAAAGTTATATATTCAATAATTTTTCAGTCACATGTATAACGTTACTAATTAATTTACTAAAAAATGAAAAAACATAGGTTTGTGGGGGGGGGGGGGGGGTTGTAATAATAATAATAATAATAATAATAATAATAATAATAGATGTTTGACAATTTGAAAACTTACACTAAATGATCTTTTCAATAGCTAAAGACTTTTCATTGCTAATTTATCCTTTTTCTTTATAACTAATTTCACAAACCAACATTCCATGTTACTAATTAACAAAGTTATATATTCTACAGTTTTACAGTAACATGTATATTGTTACTAATTAATGTACTAACCAATTGAACAAATATGGGGTGGGGGGGTATTAAAACTATTAATAATAATAGTACTAATAATTATAGTAATAATAAACATACTAATAATGGTCAAAATAATAATCTTATAATAATAATAGATGAAGAAGAAGAAGAAACATCATCACAATAACAAGTATAGTAAGAATTAAGCTTTTCAGTTACATTATTTACATTGAATTAAATTCAAGCCGATGATTAATTTTTCAAAGGAATATGTCAAATCGTGATGCTAGTTTTGTAAGGAATTTTGAAGAAATAAAACACTATTTACAATTTAATACTCTGTCACATAGAAAGTTCCTTGGGCAGGTAAACTAACTCTTTTAACTGTTTTAAGGTGATCCGTCAACAAATCTTTTAGTGTCAACTAGGGTTGCTCATGTATGACACTATGAAATCTTGCACTAAATGATCTTCTCAATAGCTAAAGAGTTATCATTGCTTAATTATTCATTGTGTTTATTAATAATAATTTAAACAGCTTATCTGTTACTAATTAACAAAGTTATATATTCTACAGTTTTTCAGTCACATACATTGTTACTAATTACTGTACTAACAAAATGAACAAAGATGGTTTAGGGGGGGGGTTGTATTATATAAGATATGATATGTCGCATATCAATAAGGACTATATACAGTATAAGACTTTTTAGTTGACTTTTTTTTACATAGTATGAAATGCAGGTCACTGATTATTTTTGTAAAGGAATTTATGAAAACGTGATCCTAGTTTAGTAAGGACTTGTGAATAAATAATACACTTACTATAATTTAATACCCCGTAACATAGAAAGTTGCTTTGACAAGTAAAATTTATAACGTTTACGTCGTTATTGTTGTTCATGTATGACACTATGAAATCTTACACTAAATTCTCTTTTTAATGGCTAAAGAATTATCATTGCTAAATTATCCATTGTGTTTATACCTAATTTCATGAATCAAAATTATCTGTTACTAATTAAGAAAGTTATATTCTACAGTTTTTATGTAACATATATAAGGTTACTAACTAATGTACTAACCAAATGAAAAAATATGAAAAAGCAAGAGTTTATGACCTGCCTTTGGTTTATGACTTCATACAAAAATTAAAACTGACTTTGATATAAGTCGTTTAATAAGGGCTCAAGTTAAACACTATTTCCAAGTGATAGAGATTATAATATTGATAAGCTCTTTACCGTCTTTTAGTATTTTATATAAGATATGTCGCATATCAATAACGACTATTTACAAATGAAGATTTTTCAGTTAAATATTTTATATAGAATGAAATACAACCCAATGATTATATTTCAGGGGACCTTATCAAATCGTGATCCTAGATTGTTAAGGATTTGAGAAGAAACAATACATTTATTACAATTTCATATTCCGTAACATAGAAAGTTCCTTTGACAAGTATACACTTTTTAATTGTTTGAAAGTGATCCGTCAACAAATTGATAACATTTACTTCATTTTTTGATTGTGACATATGACAATTTTCACACTAAATAATCATTACAATTGCTAAAAAAAAATCATTGCTTAATTACACAAGATCACTATAAATGTAACAAAAAAATATAATAAAAGGAAGAAACATTGCTTTAAAACATTCACGTTACTCGGAATCGATATGTGCTTACCAAATATAATTCCCTATGTTACTAAGATTTATAGTATGTTTTGTTTGTGTCATTTTTCAGACTTGTGTGTACCATGTATAGTTTCCTGAGTTACTAAAAAAATTTCTAATAACATTGTTCGAGTATTTTGGGGGTTTTCCACCATTGTCGACGACCTAACACCATTCTCAACCATTGCTGTTGTCGACTTTCAAATCTCCTAATTACTTATTAATCAATTTGGCCCTCGGTTACTTGTGTGCCTATAACAAATATAGTATTCCAACAAAATATCCAATTTTATTTGAAATCGATAGGACGAAGAACATACCCATTTCACTGCTTCAATTGAAAATTAGTATATTCCGCAAACATACTCATTTACAAATAGGAGACGATTAATGGAGGAAGAATAAGTCAATTAAACTGCAAAATATATAACACAATAGATTCTACAAATAATACATAAACGTTTACACAATTAACTGGAATATATCCAATTCGAAAACCCCCAAATCGAAAATTTCATAAACCTAATTAACTCAAATTGTTCAATATTTTCAGGTAAACAACGATTATTTTGTTCAATTAAACAAAATAATCTTTGCGGATGATGTTAATTTAAGCTTCTGCATGTATAATGAAGCAACTTCAAGGTTTTTTTGTTCATCTTCCATCGTCGCCCATATCGTCCTCTCTCTATGCGATGTTCATCGATGTTGCAGAAATGATTTTTTTTTAATTTTTTTTTTAGTGGAACTTGGGCTCCAAACAAACACCCAATCAAAGGCTGCCATGTCACAATGTATGTGGTTCTCACATACAGTGAATGTATGTGTAGCTTTTTCGTACTGTCCTACGCATGAAAACCACTATCAAATTAGTGTCATTCAACTCTTTTTAAAAAGAAAATTTTGGAAAATACAAATTCGTTTATCAAACCACTTACATTATTGGCTTGAGCCTAAAACTTTACAATATCTCTCAATAAGAGAGAGATTTGTCTATAAATCTTTATAAAAATAATATCCCCTCTGTCTCCTAATATAATGCCTCATTTCCATTTTTAAACCAAAATACCATGCCACTTTCTATTTTAACATTAATTTTTTTACTAAAATAATCTCATTTCTTATTATTAATCCCATATTTGTCCTTTAAATTTGGTGAGGTGTCTGTATTATTTTTGTGGAAGACTGAGCTAAGTCTTTAGGCATTAAATGTCTCAACCAACAGTATTTACTATCTCTCCTAACATTTCCACAAATTCTCAGATTTGTTTTGGTTGTTTTTAGATGAATATGTGTACTGTAAAACAATTAATTTGATGGGTTCTTTTATTTACATTAAGTGAATGTTATTGGTGTACTTACAATAGTATGGATTGCTGACATGATACTTAATTGGTGCATGTGCATCCTTTTTCCTCTGTCTCTTTTTTCCATCAGAATACTCACTTGTACTTCCAATTATTAAGTTAAAGTACTCAAATTTTTCCTTGATTCCCACGCTAAAACCAAAAAAAGCATTGTATTAGGGGGACGGAGGGGGTACTACTTAGCTATTTTATTTTTCTTCTTTTAAAACATTAACAATAGTCAAAATGCATAAATAAACTAAACAAATATGAGGAATTGATTTTCCTCAAACATCTCTCCAAAACCACAGCCTCCATTGTTGAAAGCCCCAATCCTTGTTTCTTTAAAGTTTTTTTTAAAGGTTTATAATAATGCTTCCTATTTTAGCGAGGAACCTTTCTCCCTCGAAAGAAAGGGTTTCCGATCTCCTTTAAAAGACAAGGTTTTTCGACCTCCTTCGAAAGACAAGGGTTATCTCCTCTTTTTGAGTGAAGAAATTTCTTAGTTTTGAATCCATGATATTGATCTAATGGATTGTCATGAAATTATTTCGTTGGTAAAAAAGCTATCAAGTTCTCGAATACAAACAGATGAATCAGAAGGAAAACATCTTCACAGTCACAAAAGATCGTTAGATTGCCTCTCCAACAAGACTGTATTTTCCAGCAATATAAGCAGAAAATGCTTCACAGTGCAAGATCTACTCGACGATTGTAGTTTTTATGAAAGAAAATTTTATTTGATTCTATATCTTAAGTATTTGTTAACGTTGAATCTCTATTGTAGATGTCGTATGACTTTTAATTAATGCAACATTTTTGCTATTAAAAAAAAAAGAAAAAAAAGAATTGATTAGTTGACAATTGTATATTTGTATGCATTACTGTTGTCTGTTGATGTAAAACTTACAAAGCAACATCGACTACCTTAACCAAAACACCTATATTAACCACAATACAGTAAACACCTCCAATGGTCTAAAAGGCAATCACTACAAATGAAAAAAAAAAAAAGGGGAATATTTGTGACAAACAAAAAAAATAAAAAAATAAATACATCACTTATATTTAAACTTTCAACACTGATTCTAAAATTGTCATTACCATAGATGCCTTAACATTGGTCTAATGGCCACATTGTTTAAAAACAAAATTGCATCTCCTATGCAACAGCATACAAGGTAGCCCCAGAACATGTAATTCAATAAATATGATAATGAACTCTACTATCACTCTTTCGTACACACGAAAGGGAACATTAGGAAATAAGAGAAAAGGGTTTAAAAAAAAAAACATAACGAAACTAGAGTTTCAAATTTCAGAGCCATTCCTCAGGTGGAAAATTTCACACCCCTTGTCTGTAGTCTAAAGAAAACTCAAGCACAAAGTTTGAACTAGATCCCATAGTACAAAGCATCATTCCAAAGGTTTACGCCTATCAGAGTCATTCCTCAGGTGGAAAATCAACACCAATCAGAGCTGGATGACATCTATCAGTAGGATTTCGATAGACACATGGCAAGTGACACTGATATAACTTTTTGAATGTGGACAATGGCTCAATACTGCGAAATTGGTCACTTGCAAAATGCTTCTGTCTAGTAGAAAAAACAACTTTTTTGAGATTGTCTGCATATGTTTTAAGATTCCATACCAGCAGCCTTCCAAAGTCAGATCCAGCAAAAAAAAGAGACTCATTGAAATCATTGCCATCCCAAGTTTGGTAAGTTGCAGCGTAGTTTTTGAATTCAATGGTTTCTAGCTGCTGCAAAATGTTGTCAAATTGTACTCCAGGGTTACCAACTTGACAGACTGTCACATTTTTTATGTAGTCATACTGCAGGAAGGAAAAAAAAAAATCATTGAATTGAAACAGATAGAATTAAGTGTTATTAAATTGCAGGTAAATATTAATCTAGCTTGAAAAAAGTAATAGAACTTGCATTCAAGTAAGCAGGATCCCTCATGACAATCTTGAGATTCTCAAGTTTGTAACAACCCAAAAGCATGTAGGCTATTCCCTGGAATTCCCATCTACACAGTCCGGTCTCTAGGATGAGATGACTGGCCTCAAAGGTTAGAGGTTCCCTAAAATTATAAACCTCCATTGATAGAACCTACAATTAAGGAAACACAAACATTCAATTCAAGTTAAAAATTGAAGAACAGGACATATCATATGAGTCACTGTTGAATTTAAGATTACAACCTACTTCATTTTGATTTGCATTCTAAAGAGCAGAAAATCGAGAGAGATGCTTACTAAAATAAACACAAACTGGGGGGAAAAAAGGCGCGCGGGGGGTGGGGGGGGTGTAAGAAGTAATGTATACCTGAATGCACCAGCTGCTCACTGTAAGTACTTTAGCAGTTGCTAGTTTTCTGAGAAGCCCCAAAAAATTCTTTGCATGATAGCCCTTAAGTCCTGAACTAAAGATTCTGATTGCTTGGAGTCTATGATGCATTTTATCCAGCCTAAAAATTGCTTCAGAACAGGCTAGAGTTCCATCTATCCGATAGCTTTTTCTAGGCAGGGCTGACGCAAATTCTATTGTTTTCACATTCGGAGCTCTAATACACAACTCTGTTGCTTTTCGGATGTCAGTAAACTCCTCGTTTACTACTAAATGAAGAAGGCCAGAGTTTGCAGCAACATTAATATTAAGGCCAGCAGTTGGGTTGCAATTGCTAAGACTCAGCATACCAAGAGAAGGACAATTGCTAGTAATCTTCTCCACTGAATCTTTAGTAAGCTTGACATGCTCAAGGTAAAGTTCCCTTAGAGCCTTGAAATGCAGAGGAGGAAGAGTACCTAGTTGTAGCGATATAAGAATTAATTTGACCAATGACGAACAAGGGCTATATACCCAATTAGGCATATCAACCAATGGGTACCGCCTCCTCCACTTGATTCTGTTGTCATTCCTATCATTGAAATCTATATATAGCTCTTCGAAATTTTTCAAACTAGCATAGGTCATCAATGACTGTACAATGCTAGACACATGGCAGTCATACGGAAGAGAGACTTTCATACAGTGAATATTTTGACCCTGAAGAGCATTAAAAATTTTCAACAATGATGAGAACAGAGACTTACCACAATTCTGAACCCACATTTGACCTAATTCAACATTCCTCTTATGCTTCCATAGGTCCTTCCAACTTTTCAATAAAAGGGAGGTCTCCATTGCTACTTCCATAGGAAGCTTATCTAGAATCTCTATGATAAGATTGTCGTGAAGCCTACCAAAGTAATCAGGCTCACTATTATCATCCAAGTCAGCTGAAGTTCTTGGGCATTTTGAATCCGGTTGGACATCCATTGATAATAAGTTGCAGCTGTTTAAGGACCAAACAGAATGCATCAGTAAAGAAAGCATGTAGACCACAAGACCAATAATGTGTGTTCTAAATGTAGAATTTAATGTATGAATTAATTCACCAACAAACTCATTAGAAATTTATCTCTCTCAATCAAGGTCTCATGATGGTAGACTTTTATTACCTGAGGACCTTGCAGATTTGTATACTTTAAAAAACATAAGCAAGGTCTCCATGATATTGGCATAGAAGTTTTATATATGAGGACCTTGAAAATTTTTATCCTTACAAATATGCATAGCTATGTAAGCTAACCCACTGTTGTTCATCAAAAGATGTATGGAAACTCCAAGCATCTTTTCAATCAATAATATGAATGTAGTAGTTTTCATCCCAATTCATTCAACATGGATAAGTAACTTCATCTCAATATAACTAAATAGGACATAATTACTACATTAGTACACAACAAATGTGATAATTCTGAACACGATGAGCTATCTACAAAATCCAGTAAGCTTTTTCAAAATGAATAAAAGCTTTCTAGACTATTGATTCTAGGCTTCATTTCTTCCAGAATGAATGACAAAAAAGCTACACAACTCAAAAGCATAATTGTTTCTCCTTAACACTATAACAGATTTCCAAAGCAAACTAAGACAAATCCCACAAAAGGGATATTTATAATTGATATCAACAGATGATTGAAAGATAAAGCCTTTTTTTCTTTTAACAGAGTTAAGTTGCACAAACACAGTTGATTTTTGTCCTATTGCATGCCACACCAACACCCATAGTCATCCCCACTTCATTCCTAACCCTTCCCCTAATCCTAAAAGTCACACAAAAGACACAACATGAGAACCTAGTCACCTACCTGTCAATTCGGCTAAATTGAAAAACAAAGTAATACTTGGTCTAGGGGTAAGGATTTCATTCACAGCCAAGAGGTTGGGAGATCAATCACCATTAGAGGCTAGGAGGCGGGGATTCCATTACCCTTATTTCCCACTCCCAAGAAGCCTTGCACGCAACCCAGCCAGGATGGACCTGCGAGAGGTTTCGACCTCATAAAGTGCCTTCTTCTTACCAACACAAAAAAAAAACAAAAATAAAGGAGGCTAGATTAGGGGTGGCAATTTAGGTATGCAGGTCAAGTTCGGGTCCAATTTCGGGTTGGGCTTAAAAACTATCAAAAAAGCGTAGAACTTAATATTATCACAAAATATGATATTTGGGTCAAATCGGATTGTTTGAGTTCGGTTCAAGTCAGGTTTCTCTCAGTAAATTCGGGTCAGGTTATTAAGTCGGGTCAAGATCAGTCCTAGCCAAGGATTGAGAAGAAAGTCAAATGGAAGTACCATCAACAGATCTCCGTTCTTGTGTGCTAAAAGAAGGCAAACATTAGGGTGACTGATACTACTTAGCCAATTATTAAGGAACTGCTCCAAGCGATATTAATAAAAGTGACTAAGAAAAAAAGAAGAATTCACCACAAATTCCAAAACAAAGCATAACAACATAAATACAAAAAAGAAACCAATTCCAACTATAATTTCAAAGAGATCTAGTCTCATTGGATGTTCCACAATTATTCGCCTTCAATTTACTGTGAAATTATGCCACATTCAGTCATATGTCTCATCACAAAATATGAGTCTACACAAGACCAGTAAATATTGTATCGATCAACATTTAAGCACATGGATAATGAACTACTATGCATCAACAAGGGTGAAACTAGAGTGACATGACATGAAACACAGGGTTGTTCAAATCAAACAGAAATCGACACAAACATCAAATGAATTGGATATGAGGATCGTGTCTTACCTTTGCAGAATTTGACCGTCGCCTCTTGATCAACAGTAACTTAAAAAAAAATACTTGATATCTGTACACAAATTCTTGTTTGAATCAGGAGTGCCGATCTGATTCAAAAACTATGAAATGAAAAGAGAGTATGTAAAACTTAGCCCATTATATAGACAGATTAATAAGTAATAACAATAATAAAATTAAAGATGCACATATAATTGGTGGCAGATCATATATGATTTATTTCCAAAGTATGCATTAAATCAAGACCGTTGGAAAATTAACGTTCCAATCCGATCTCCACAAAGGCCTTTAACACGTGTCGTCATTCAAATGTTGAATTTGAATTAAATTACAGATATTACAACATAATACAACTGAAGGACAGTCAGGATACACCCAAATATTGAGAATAAAGTTTGCCAAGTTATTCATTAAATATCTTTTGGAATCTGAAATACATGGTAATATGGGTTTGACAAACCTTCTTAGCCTCTCTTGGATGACGAAGCTACTAATAACCACCCTCTCCCGGCAAAACAAAAGAGCCAAACTGTTAAGGCATCTATCATCTTTCTTGCACGAAATATTACAAATATGACTCAAGGAGAGTTGAGCTACTAAAGGACCTGTAAAGTAACACACATATATTCCCCATTTTTGTTTTACAACTATTCCAAGTCCATTCATGACATACTGATGTTTGAGGATTCCACTGCCACAAAAGTAACATAAATAAACACTGTACAGTAAGCAAGAATCATAAAATCAACTACTACCAACAGCCACTTGAAGAGATTCCACTCACAATCTTGTGGCAGCAGTCATGTATAAGTCCTTAGATACAGGAAGATGGGAATTACAGATCTAACACCTGAAGAATCTACTGAACTTCAATAAACAAGTTAGTTGATTTACGCATCCATTAATAACCACGTATGGAATGTCAATCTGAAGGCTACCTTTAATTTATGTAGTTTGTTATTATAACATATGATCCATTCTGTCAACATAGAAGTAAACTTGCGTAAAATGGTCCGCAAAACGACCTACAGAAAGAATATATAAGTACAGAATCTCATTTCCAAACAATATCACTGTTTGGATTGCCCAACAACACAATTAATAGTGCAATAAAGAGTACTAGTCCATGGACATGAACAAATCCTAACATCTTGAAATTCTAGCAGATTTAGGATGTTTCAGATATGACATGACAAGATTTTGAAAAGCCATATATCTAACAAAGCATGAGAAGAATAGATATAAATTTTGACTTTGAAAAAGCCAAATTTAGCAGCTGTTTAAGGATGGAGGAAATAGTCATTTCGAGGGAATATTAATAAATTCATCCTATTCCTTGGCTTCTTCTTCGCCAACATCAAAAAGAAGGGAAAATTAATGCCTTACTAAGACGAATTTCATCACCAAAGAAAACTATAAAGAAGCTTGTTAGCAGCAAATATGTAATTCTCTTCCATAGCACAATTTGTTGACCAAATCAAAACCAAGTAAATACTCTGCAATAAACACTTATTAAAAAGGGCCAGTAGACCTGAGAAAGAGTGAATTTCTATTTCCTCCACACCCCCCCCCCCCTCCTTTCACAAATTGGGCTGAGAAGGAGGGGAAGACACACTTCTGAAAGTGTTTGTGGAGTGGAGAGGGAGACACATCACTGAAAAGCAGGATTTCCCTTGGCAAAAGTTTAAGCAACAAAATGAATGGCAGAAACAAAAGAACTTATTATAATGCGAAAGTCAAAATATATTATGGAAATACCAAAATAGTATAAGCTAGAAACACAAGACCTTACATGATATCTGTCTGCACATCTCTAAAAATAAGGAAATACCTGCCTCACTAATTTTAGACAAATTCATACTCAAGTAACCCAGCACTTTCAAATGTCTGCATCTTATTTCAAATAAATGTGCCCAATTGAAAACAAATACAGCTCCAAAAATAGATAAGCATCCTCACATAGAATTGTTACAAACTATTCTTATCTCTCGCCTGCAGCTCCAGCCCAACTACACCTCTCAGAATACTTATGGTAAAAAGCATCACACCTGCCAGTCAAAAGCTTCTACAAGATTTTGCTGCTTACATATCCTTTTCACATAGGAACATCAGGGTCCAATTTTTTTTGGATAGCAGTTGCTGCCTACAAATAAGTTCCATATTAGTGTCAGTAACAGGTCCAAGGTATACATTCAAAAAGTGCACTACAGTATAAAGAGAAGAATTGTCATTTATCACCTCAATGTTTCCGATTTTAAACAAATATGCCATTTCCTCCTTGAGCCGAACTTGTTCTATCATTGCTTGTGCCTAAGAATCCAACCACGAAAAGAAAAATATAGATATTATGAAAAAAAGAAGAAGAAAAAAATGAAATGCTTAGCAGAAAATGCCTGCTTATTAGCAAGCAAAAAATGTTTGTGCAACTAAGACTAACCATGCCACTCTTCATGGCATCCTTCAATGCTTCCACCTCTTGTTCCTTTTGTTTCTCGCGAACTTGCATCATCTCTTGTCTGCGATAGGCACATGGAATATGTATGAAAATTTTCATGTAAGGATATAGCAAAACAATTATCAGAGTGATACTGATTCCAAAGACCAGAACGATGGTGGAAAGTCACTTAAGGGTCATGCATGCTAACTTACACAGACAGCTATAAAGTTTTGGACATGCCTGAATACCATATTAACTACCATACCCAACTGATCCAAGGGTACAAAAAATGAAAGAAACAGGAATAAAAATATCCACTAGAACAACAATCTGTTGAGGTAAATACAATTCACAGGCACAACATACCGACGCTGTTCTTCATCATTAAATACAGTACGCTCCGTTTGCACGACCTTTTTAAAACCCTTCTTCATCTCTTTTTCCATTTTATTTCTGTGATATATATCAAGGTTATAGTACCTGCAGCACAATTGTAAACTTTGGTAAGAGATGCTTCATACATAACTCACGTCTATGGAAAATAGAAAAACCTTTAGGAAGAGAACAATGCACGAAGACAACACCTGGGAAGTGGTAGCGGATCAACCATGGGTTCACCGAATTCAGTAACTTGAAAAATATATATGCATATTAGAAAAGAGTTAAAAGGATAAATTTTGTCTTTCATTGGTGCTTCCAGATTTGCTTCTTATGTTTTTAAGGGAAGTAAGTAAAATTTTCCTTAGATCTTGTCCTTGTTATATGAAAGCATCTGAGTAATTGTATTTGACTATCAAAAATATGACATTTGTCTAGTTTGGTGATGATAACTTTGCATCCTTAGCGTAATCTGACTTGAGTCCAATTCTCTTTGCTTGCTTCTATACTGGTATGGTAGTGAATTTTTGTACATTTATCTTCTTATTAGTAGTTACTAGATTTCAGATACAACAGATCCAAATGATCTTAGAGACTAAACAGTTTCAAAGAGAACTTATATGAGTCACTCCTAGTTATAATTACATTCTAAAATTTAAATACAATTGTGTTATAAAGAGTCATTAACCTAATTGTATTATAAAACAACAAAAGTCTCATCCAATCATCCATATTAACCTCTTTTTGATTAATGAAATAAATATATTGTACACAGACTAATAAATGATTTTGTTAATTGTAACATTTTCAGGAAGTGAAAGGTTCTTATACGTTATTCTATACTCCCTTTATTTATATTAAGTTGTTCCACTTTGACATGACCCACCCAAAATGAGAAATGGGGCATTTATATAAGGACGTGAATATTAAGAGAAAGGGGGGAGGGGGCTTGTATAGTGACGGATGGAGTACAAAAAAATTGTATGGTTTGCCAAAAGTAAAAATCAATTTACCCAAACTTAATGATCTTAGATGGTTTAACATAGATCAAGCTCAACTAAATATCTCAAATAATATTTATGTATTTTCATTATTATAAAATTCCAGTGATTTCTTATTTTAATTTATTTATTGTGACATTGCATGCTTATGCATCACTCCCTATATTTTTGAAATGTTCTTTTTTAACATACAGCATAAAATGAGACATATAACACTGGCTGATCTTGTTAGATTCGCCTATTAACTAGTTTTAGATTGTATTTGCATCGTCTACGACACTTGTGATCCTAATGCTACCCATACAAAATATACCTTAGCTTTGTCCATACATAATACTTAGATCCACTAATATCAGCGTTTTCCTCAACAAGATAAAGCAAAGAAGTTTTTTGAATACTTCCTTACTTTCATTATCATGAACAACCATTGATTCAAGAATATCTGCCAATTGGCCTCTATTAATACTGAATCTCTGCTTCTGCCCTCCATATTCTTTATCAAGGTATGTCTTCTTTCCTCCGTGACCTTCAGCAAGGTCAGTCTTTTTGCTTTTCCCTCCTTTCCTATTCTCTTTCCCTCCTTCAACGTGTTCTATCTCCTTGCCTTTTGCCTTCCTTACTTTTTTCTCTGATTTAATAAGATCTTTATATTCTTCATAAAGGTTTATAACTAAATCACAATAGTAAGATTCTTTTTCAACTACCAATTTCTCGACTGATTTGATATTTTTTCCTCCAGCTGAAATCCCAAACAAATCTGCTACTTCATTGACACAAACCTCAAATTCTAATTCTCCAATGAAAGTTTTTGTAATTTTCACATAACTTTTGTCCAAGGACTGCTGAGCCCTCAGTAATGCCTTTTGGGATAAATTTGCCTTTTTTTTTACTTGGCAGCATAATTTCTGTGTTTCAAAAAATTAAAACAACTTATGTGCCCGATTGTCTTAAGATCCATGTGTGGATTATCTGCAAGATTGTCTTAAGCACAGGCTGCTTTATTTTTTATTTTATAAGCAAATGTTGAGATTCTTTCAATTCTTTCAAGCAAATGCCGAGAGATTCTTTATTTTTATGCACAGGCTGCTTTGATCAAAGAACAAATAAAGCAGATTCATTCACATGTAAGGTTTCCTTAACTCAGTTTGGATACATATTCATGAGAGAAGACATTAAAAATTTTCTTGACTCAATGAATACAAAGTTTTCACCATTCCTTAAAGAAATGTATAGTTTTGTAAATGAAGTAAAAAAAAGGCAAATCTATCCCAAAAGGCATTCTTGAGGGCTCAGCAATCCTTGTGCAAAAGTTATGTGAAAATTAAAAAAACAATTTTTTTTCATTGGAGAATTAGAATTTAAGGTTTATGCCAATGAAATAGCAGATCTGTTTGGGATTTCGAGGGAAAAGTATCAAATTAGTCGAGAAATTGAAAGTTATAAAAGAATCTTACTATTGTGATTTAGTTACAAACCTTTACGAACAATATAAAGATCTTATTAAATCAAAGAAAAAAGAAATAAAGGCAAAAGATAAGGAGATAGAACATGTTGAAGGAGATGGAGGGAAAGAAAATAGGAAAGGAGGGAAAAGCAAAAAGATTGACCTTGTTGAAGGTCACGGAGGAAAAAAGATTGACCTTGATAGAGAATATGAAGGGCACATGCAGAGATTCAGTATAATAGAGGCTAATTGGCAGATATTCTGGAATTAATGGTTGTTAATGATGATGAAAGTAAGGAAGTTTTCCAAAAACTTCTTTGCTTTTATTTTATTAAAGGAATCTTCATTCCTTCCTCAGATGAAACACTCAGGATAACACACTTCAAATTCATGGACAATTTGAGTGTTTTTGAGGAAATTAATTGGCCTTTAACTATTCTCGAGGATATCAAAACTGGAGCATCGAGAGCCACAGCAAAGAAAGGCTTTAGTGGTTGCTCCATAGCACTTGAGGCATACAAGACCTTCACGTAGTTTCTTGTTCTTTTTTTTAAAATCTACACATAATTTCTCACATAATTTATTGTTCTTGCAGACACTTGTATATGAGAGGGTTGCAAAATTGAAGCCAACAGCAAAAACCAAAGGAATTAGTCTTCCCATTTTGAAATATACATGACATAAGTATAGAGCTGCAATGTTGGACGATAGTTTTAAAAATTTGACCATTCATGATGTAAGTTAGTATTGTTTACAAATATTCTGATTTTGAATTCATTTCAAGATGATATCTTAACAATCCTAATTTTTTTAATTATGTAGATTTCGGAGTGCTCAACTATGTAACTTAGAGCTCGCATCCGGTGTTTCAAGGATCCAAATCCCAAAGCCGAATTCAAATGCCATTGCTCATAAGTATTATGACTACATTGTCAACTTATGTGGAGAGATAAACAAAACTAGTAACAAATAAACTAAGTTATTGAAGAATAGGAGGGGGAATATAATATCCCACATCTTTAACCTAGTAGATATAAGATTTGAGTTGTCAAAAGTCATAAAATAGGCTTACTATAATATTATATTATTATGTTCAGAGACTTCAGACCCACATGCTAAATATCCAGAATTTATCATTATGCAATGCTTCATAAGGATATGAATAAACTTATGAACATGTGGGATTGAGGGCTTTCCTGAAACTATTTTATCCTCAAACGAGTGCTTCATGGCTCCATACAAACAACTGAATATTAAAGAAAACATTAAGGAGATAATAAAATAAAATAAAACTCACTTTTTGGAAGGAAAGGTACCCGTATTGTAGTCCTCCATGTATCTGTTAAAGAATATGCAATTAAATTTCTGTACCACAGTT